CTTATTTTTAGAAACATTTGGACTTGACCTGGAGTCTCAAATGAGTCTGGAATGTACGAACTCAACGCTGTTCTATGTGTCAAAAAATCCTGGAAAAAAATGTATCATCACGGTGCCCAGAAAAAAAATATGAACTGTTTTTAACATTGATAATAATAGGAAATTATTCTTCTTGAGCACCAAATCAGAATATTAGAATGATTTCTGAAGGATCATGTGACACTGAAGACTGGCGTAATAATGACAATTCAGCTTTGCTGTCACAGGAATAAATAAATAAATTAAATATATTAAAATAGTAAATTGTTGTAATATTTCACGATATGTTTTTACTGTATTTCTGGTCAAATAAATGCAGCCTTGGCGAGCATAAGAGTCTTCGTTTAAAAAAATTTACACCCAAAATGTTTGAACAAATAATGTAAATGGTAACATATGTTGACATTTTCAACAGGGAATGTGTCAGTACTACTATTAAGATTTAACAAACTCATATTTTCCAGTGTCAATGAATGTAATGACGAGAAAGGCACAAATTCTCACACCGTGGCTGAGAACCACGCTTCACCTACTCAAACTGACACCACTACAAACTGCAGGCCGCCCTCCTCAGAAACGTCTCGATCCACCTTCACCCTGGCAGGCCAGCTCTCCAGTGAGTCCAGACTCAACTCTCAATTTATACAGAATAGAATGACTGCTTGAATTTCGCCGAATGGCTCTCCCATTTTGCAGGTCTGAACGCCCGACGGCCAAGCTCCCCCATGGTGGATGTAAAGCCGATTGAATTTTGGGCCATGGGACCCCGGAAGGAAGTGGTGCAGCCCCTGCGCAAGCCCCCAACACCGCCAGATGACTACTTCCGCAAACTGGAGCCCCATCTGTATTCTCTAGACTCCTGCAGCGATGATGTTGACTCTCTGACGGATGAGGAGATCCTGGGGCGCTACCAACTGGGCATGCTGCACTTCAGCACACAGTACGATCTCATCAACGCTCACCTCACCGTGCGAGTCATCGAGGCCCGGGACCTGCCCCCTCCTGTAACATGCGATGGTGCTCGCCAAGACATGGCCCACTCCAACCCCTACGTGAAGATGAGCCTACTGCCCGACCACAAGAACTCCAGGCAGACCGGCGTTAAACGCAAGACCCAGAACCCGGTTTTTGAAGAGCGTTTCACTTTTGAGGTCCCCTTCCTGGAGGCACAGAGACGCACCCTACTGCTCTCCGTGGTCGACTTTGACAAGTTTTCACGGCACTGCGTCATCGGGAAAGTGTCTCTTCCTCTTAATGAGGTTGATCTAGTGAAGGGAGGACACTGGTGGAAGGCCCTGGTGCCCAGCTCTCAGGTAATACCACTTGCCTGAGTCACATTGTTTATTTTTCAGTCATTTTAGGTGTGGCGCTTGCACAATAACTGAGAAGTTAGGTCACACAGAATTAAATTAAGCAATTTAGTAAAATGTGAAATCATTGTAGCCATACTTCAGAATGTCCTGCCTTATAAGTATGCACACCATAGTACTCCTAAATATTTCTTGCCCCAGCTCTGTGTTTAGGATGTGTTTATTTGATCACAAATACAGTAAAAACAGTAATATTGTGAAATATTATTACAATTTAAAATGACTGTTTTCTTTTTATATATATTTTAAAATGTAATTTGTGACCCTAGACCACAAAACCAGTCTTAAGTCGCTGGGCTATATTTGTAGCAATAGCCAACAATACATTGTATGGGTCAAAATTATCGATTTTTTAAATGCCAGAAATCATTAGGATATTAAGTAAAGATCATGTTAAATGAAGATATTTTGTAATATGCATTGCTAAGAACTTCATTTGGGCAACTTTAAAGGCGATTTTCTCAATATATTTAGATTTTGTTTCAGATTATATTCAGATTCCAGATTTTCAAATAGTTGTATCTCGGCCAAATATTGTCCTATCCTAACAAACCATACATCAATGGAAAGCTTATTTATCCAGCTTTCAGATGATGTATAAATCTCAATTTCAAAAAATGTACCCTTATGACTGGGTTTGTGGACCAGGGTCACATTTATTCCTGTTGTGCAAAGCTGAATTTTCAGCATCCTTACTCCAGTCTTCAGTGTCACATGATCCTTCAGAAATCATTCTAGAATGATGATTTGCTGCTCAAGAAACATTTCTTATTAGTATCAATGTTGAAAAGAGTTGCTTAATATTTTTGTAATAAATTGAATGATTTTTTTCAGGATTCTCTGATGACTAGAAAGTTCAAAAGAAGAGCATTTATTAGAAATATAAATGTTTTGTAACATTATGAAAGTGTTTACTGACACTTTTAATTTAATCATTGCTAAATAAAAGCACTCAATTCATAGAGAAAAAAATTAATGTACCCAAACATTTCAATGGTAGTGTATTTGTGTCTGTTCCAAATTATATTATTAATATTAGGAAACTATTAGACGAACCCAGATACTTTTTCATGTAGAAAGGTTTTCATTGTTGAGCTTTAATTGCAGTCTTTGACACTTAAAAAGATGCACAACGCATTAATTTGCTGACATCATTATCAAGACTTGATTGATTTCTCAGTGTGATGTTTTTCAGAATGAGGTTGAGCTTGGTGAGCTTCTTCTGTCCTTAAACTACCTGCCCAGTGCTGGTAGGTTAAATGTGGACATCATCCGAGCAAAGCAGCTGCTTCAGACGGACATGTGCCAAGGCTCGGGTAAATATATTTAGTGTGTTTTGCTCACTCCACTCTCTACAATTTCAGAGCACTTGTAGCAGAGCTTCAGTGACTACAGAAATCTATGTAAGTATTGTCTAAGTATAGTGATGGAATAACTTGCTTTGTCTCTGAAACAACTTTCCTTTTATGCGAATATCACTTTGGCCATGTGATAAATTTAACCAATAGTCAAATAGCTATTTAATCTTTGTTTTAGCAAATTCGCTATTGGTCTTGCTCCATTTTGGTATGTAATGTACACTTTCATGATCTAATCAGAAAGCAATTAATGTTAACTTCAACCCAGTTGTTTCTTCTCTGTATCCAGATCCTTTTGTTAAGGTGCAGTTGGTGACAGGCCTTAAGTTGATGAAGACTAAGAAGACGTCCTGTATGAGGGGCACCATTGACCCCTGCTACAACGAGTCCTTTAGCTTCCGTGTACCTCAAGAGGAACTGTGTGAAGTCAGTCTTGTGTTCACAGGTATTGTTTTGAAATTATTAAGCAGCACAAGTCTTTTCAACATCGATAATAATAAGAAATGTTTTGAGCGTATTAGAAGGATTTCCCCTAACCCCTAACTTTTGAAAGCTATTTTTCCAATGACACTAAATTAATCCATTAATCCAAATTCACAGCCTATTCATAACAGTTGAAATTGTCTTGTTGGATACCTAATGCAGTAAAGGTGAAAAGCCAGATCTCCAGGGTAGAACATGCCAATTTTAACCAGGTGACATGTAGCAATTCCTCACAATTAGTGTAATCTAGCTTGTGACCCAGGGCACCTCATTAAGATTCATTTAAATTCCAATAGGATTTATTCAATTACAGATGCTGCCAGTCAGAAGCTGACCCGGACAGTTGCTCATGCAGAGATTTTATGCACTGGTACACACTGACATTTAATATTTGCACTCGCCATGCACCGTGATTGCACAGAGCTGATGGTGGCCTGCACTCATAACCTGCCATTTGAGACAGTATAGAGCAGTAAGCCCAGCCCAACGAGTAGTTTATGCTGGTTTACTCAGGTTTAATCAGTGCTAAGTCAACAGTGATGTTTACAAACAGGTATATCTCACGCTAAAGGGTGAGTGCAGCCTCCTGTACCCCATCTAGGCTGGTCAGCATGTGTCTCTCCCCAGTCGTACCATCCAGGGCTGCCTGCCCACCGCTTCTCTCTGATGTTTCAGACTACAAAGCCCTGCAGTCAAACACTGCCTGCAATCCCACCCCTGCTTGGCCTCTGTCTCTCACTCCTGGTCTGTTTGATGAGACTCTCTCTCTCTCTATGTATCCCTTGCTCTTCTTTAGCACATTCTTTTTTATCAGTTATTTTACTTTTATTTCTTTGCAATTCCTAGTGTCATTTTTCACAAGTATCACTAACTGAAGGATCCCACTAACAGAGCAGTTAATGGGAATTTAATGGTGGTGTTCTGTCCATATGCTATCCATAAGCAGTGAGTGGAAACAGATCTTCTGGCTCTGTTCAACATGAATCCCATCAGGCAACTATGCACATTGGAAGGGGTCAAATTTGTGCCCAGTACCCATAATCATAGGTGGAGTGCTTTAACTAGTGGTCTGCGACTTTTGAACCGTTTTATTTATTTTATAATGTGTTTACACAGACTTTTTATTAAAGTACCTAAGCAGCATAAATGTATTTGCATGAGTATACTGCATATAATACAAACATTCATTACTAAGGTAATGAGATTTTAGTTTAGTTACCTTTCTAATAATAGAAAACCAGCTCTCCAGTGAGTCCAGACTCAACTCTCAATTTATACAGAATAGAATGACTGCTTGAATTTCGCCGAATGGCTCTCCCATTTTGCAGGTCTGAACGCCCGACGGCCAAGCTCCCCCATGGTGGATGTAAAGCCGATTGAATTTGGGACCCCGGGACCCCGGAAGGAAGTGGTGCAGCCCCTGCGCAAGCCCCCAACACCGCCAGATGACTACTTCCGCAAACCATCTGTATTTCTGTATTCTCTAGACTCCTGCAGCGATGATGTTGACTCTCTGACGGATGAGGAGATCCTGGGGCGCTACCAACTGGGCATGCTGCACTTCAGCACACAGTACGATCTCATCAACGCTCACCTCACCGTGCGAGTCATCGAGGCCCGGGACCTGCCCCCTCCTGTAACATGCGATGGTGCTCGCCAAGACATGGCCCACTCCAACCCCTACGTGAAGATGAGCCTACTGCCCGACCACAAGAACTCCAGGCAGACCGGCGTTAAACGCAAGACCCAGAACCCGGTTTTTGAAGAGCGTTTCACTTTTGAGGTCCCCTTCCTGGAGGCACAGAGACGCACCCTACTGCTCTCCGTGGTCGACTTTGACAAGTTTTCACGGCACTGCGTCATCGGGAAAGTGTCTCTTCCTCTTAGTGAGGTTGATCTAGTGAAGGGAGGACACTGGTGGAAGGCCCTGGTGCCCAGCTCTCAGGTAATACCACTTGCCTGAGTCACATTATTTATTTTTCAGTCATTTTAGGTGTGGCGCTTGCACAATAACTGAGAAGTTAGGTCACACAGAATTAAATTAAGCAATTTAGTAAAATGTGAAATCATTGTAGCCATACTTCAGAATGTCCTGCCTTATAAGTATGCACACCATAGTACTCCTAAATATTTCTTGCCCCAGCTCTGTGTTTAGGATGTGTTTATTTGATCACAAATACAGTAAAAACAGTAATATTGTGAAATATTATTACAATTTAAAATGATTGTTTTCTTTTTATATATATTTTAAAATGTAATTTGTGACCCTAGACCACAAAACCAGTCTTAAGTCGCTGGGCTATATTTGTAGCAATAGCCAACAATACATTGTATGGGTCAAAATTATCGATTTTTTAAATGCCAGAAATCATTAGGATATTAAGTAAAGATCATGTTAAATGAAGATATTTTGTAATATGCATTGCTAAGAACTTCATTTGGGCAACTTTAAAGGCGATTTTCTCAATATATTTAGATTTTTTTTTGCACCCTCAGATTCCAGATTTTCAAATAGTTGTATCTCGGCCAAGTACTG